GGAAGGATGAAGAGACTTGCTCGAATATTTTACAGCATTGCAAAATGTTTGCCAGTTGTTCCACTGCCAGCATTACAAAATGTTTGCCAGTTGTTCCACTAGTTCAAAATGGAAAGAAAATGTAAGCAACTGTGCGCCTTTTGAACACATTATTGAGCCATAAAAAGTGGAATATTTCAATTCTTCCAATTTTATCCACTCTCAAAACTGATTATCTATAGAACCCGGAGGGAACCAAAAAATCCACTGTTGGGAAGTGAATAGAAAAAAAGGTAGAAAGAGAGAAAAAAGTTCTGAAAATCACCGTCTTCCAGGGGACCTGTGGCCCGAGATCTCTAACAAAAAGTTGCGCATTTTGAGCAGCCAAACCGAGTTCGCTGATTCTTTTCTCGTCTGCGACCGCTTTACCTTTCGGCTCAACACGCAACGACTGTCGCTCGACGGTCAGTGCAAGCTCTGAAAAAGCCCTTGTTATCGAGCAACACCTTGTTTGGGCACAAGTTCGGACCATTACGAAAGTGATTCAGTGGTAAGACACAGCAACAAAGAGAGACCTTACTTTTCTGAGCGATTCTCTTCTTTATAGCTAAGATTGTCTCATCACCGGTCAGGTTATCCAGAGTAATGATGGAACGAGTTGGCTCCTTCGCATCGAACACTTCAAGATTGAAGCCACCCATAATTACCTGAAATGCATGGTATAGAACTATGCGACACAACGGGAGAATGTACAAATGGCCCGCACTAAACACACACAAGAATGTGGGAAACAACTTCAAATAAACAAAGTGGGAACCATCGACCATCACCTGCCGGTTCCCACGGGCGGTCGGTGTGGAAACCGTGAAATTGCGTAGTGTTTACGCAGAATGCCACGAGACACTGCAGACTTGTTTTCTAGCATTCGAATGACTCATTGATCGTAGCTGGGTCAACTGCGTGTTCGCACTGTCAACAAGTGTCGCATATGGATTTCGAGCAAGGTTATCATAGTGGAAACGGAGGTTGCGTAGATCGTCAAAAAGGGTTTGTTTGGACGGGTTTACGACAAATTTCGAGAGTGGTGAGAACTAGGCAAAATTGGTGGATTTGTCGCTTCATGATATCAATTGCTCCCCCCCCCCCACCTTACGCACCCACCCATCCGCTCGACGACGGCTCCAACCGCATTCACTTTTTCCTACGGTTTTTGTAGGAAAAAGTGAATGCGGTTGGGCTGTGTCGCCTTGGTGCCATGAAACAGCACAGAGATAGCCATGATGGTGAGTGTGGTGATCGGAGAAAGGGATCATATTGGGGGAGTCTCCTAAGACTGAAGCTGCACCGAGCAGGGTGAATATCGGTCGAGGAAATCCTCGATACAGGGGGTTGTATTTGTTAGGGCCATGTGGAGTCATGACTCTGGGGGGGCTCGTGGGGGTCAGTAACGTCAGTGGCATCGTGGTGCAGATAGGAGGGATAGGGTGTAGCGCAGCAGAAAACAAGGATATGAGAAAAAATGATATAAAATATCCTTTGCAGGTTCAGTCGCTCCGTCTCTCTACCTCCGAGAAGGAAGTATTTGAAGTATACAAAGAATGAAAGTGCATCTTTTGCAAGGAACAGGGTCACATGTGCACACGCGCTGCGAAGCTAATTTATTGATGAGCCAGTCGACAACGCGACAGGGTGAGGATTAATTGAAATGGGTGAAAAGATTCCTCATAGTCCACCAGAACCGGCCCTCTTCTGGAAAATATATGATATAGGGAGCCTTTACGCCCCATTCATAGCTCGCGATTTGTGCGATTTGGCGATTTATTGGAAAGAAATGTGTCGCTTGAAAATCGCCAAAGCACCGCACCGACGAGCGGTCATGGCAGGGTCAACCCTATGTTAGTACAAGTACCGACGAGGAAAGTCAGTATTTGACCCAGTGAGGCTGGGAAGTGGGGTCTAAGTCTGGTGTCAGAGTTCTTAACGAGTCGACGCTAATTCGCGTGACGATCTCGCAAATACCCTCCCAATTAAGAAACATTGTGAACAATACGTAGGATCGTGAACCAGTCAATTAATCCATTCCATCACCATTCCAGGCAAGAATAGCGGCAGGATTGATATCATGTAATCGTGCAGTATTGATCGGCACTTGTGATGTCTTGGTAACGAGCGCGCGCCCATTGCCGCTGAGAGTCGCGGATTGGCCGATGTCAGAGTCTGCGATTGGAGCGATCGGTCAAATGCCAATCGCGCGACCATCGCGCGATTCGCGCGACGATCGCGCGATTGACATGAGTCCCATCATGACCAATCGCTCCAATCGCGCGATGGGCGCGATCACTCCCGTTGTGGCTGGCGCGCCCCTCTCGATCGATACGTTGACTGAGCTATCGATCGAGAGGGGCGCGCCAGCCACAACGGGAGTGATCGCGCCCATCGCGCGATTGGAGCGATTGGTCATGATGGGACTCATGTCAATCGCGCGATCGTCGCGCGAATCGCGCGATGGTCGCGCGATTGGCATTTGACCGATCGCTCCAATCGCAGACTCTGACATCGGCCAATCTGACAATCAGACTAAAGGCGGTGATCAGCAGGGAAATCGGTGTCTTCTGCGAAATGCATCGGCGAATTAGAAGCACAGCGCAGGCGCGGCGCACACCATGGCAAAGATTGTCAGTGCAAAGCGCTTCAAATTCGAATCATCAGTATCAAAAAACTGTTTCAGAAGGACTCCGATGTTTCTGGAATGAGTGAAACGAAGAAAAGTAGGATGAATGACGGACTTTTCGAAAAAAAAAACTTTGTAAAAGATGTTTTTGGAAGATTTTACAAACGCTCGAGTGAATTGTTCAAGTGCAAACTAGTAGTTTCAAACACACTCAAAGTCTTACACGAGATCGGTTTTGAAGGAAGTTACGACCACTGAAACCCAAAAAAACCGCGTTTTCACGAAAATGGCTTGATGAGTGCCCCTCAAAAAAGTCCCAACGGGACTAATTTTTGAATCGGTAATTTTTCGAATTAGTTTTGGTACTTTTTAGAAAGCTTCAAACCTGAAGTTTGTCATACCGTGTTCAGCTTCCCAAATAAATGAGTTTGAAGGAAGTTATGATCGTTTAAAGGTTGAAAAGTCGCGGTTTCGAAAAATAGTAACGCAAACCCCCAAAAAAGTACAACGGGACTAATTTTTGAATACTAATTTTTGATATGAGTTTGGGTACTTTTTAGGAAGCTTGAAGCCTTTAGTTTGTCATGCGGGTTCAGCTTCCCAAATAAATGAGTTGAAGAAAGTTATGATCACTTGGAGCTTGAAAACTCGCAAGTGCACAGTGAAAACTATCAACGTGCTAATTTTTTGCTAAACCAACTTTCGAGGGAAATTTAGAGAGAGAATAAATTGGTTTTTCCTACTCCTTTCACCTTGTCGCACAACCTCGAATTTGAAGGAAGTTATGGCCCTAAAAAGGGACAGGTGCAAATTTCATTGAAACTTTATTTGATTTGTGCAGAAACACCAGAGAAATTGGAAAAAACTCCCGTGCCCTCGAGTTTCTGTCCTGCCTATATGTAAGTTAATGTTTCCACACACACAGGGGTGTATCGAGGCCCCCGAAATGGCGGAGGGTCGTGAAATTTCCCAAAAAGTACCAACGGTAGGGTTGACCCTGGTCATGAGGCGGGGTCAACCTGATCAAGTGCAAGTGATCTTTTTAGCGAAATCGCCGAATCTGCTTGCCGAATTTTCAGACCTTTAGCAGGTGCTATCGCAAGATGGGGGGGGGGGGCATAGCGATGGTTATCCATTTAAAACCGCGTAGAGCTTCTACTTTTTGTTGAAGTCGAGGCTGAGCCTTAAGTAGCGCATTCCGCACGCGCTCTGGAAAGACTCCAGAGCGCGTGCGGAATGCGTGAAGGGAAGAATTCACGCTCTCCGACATTTTCTCCCACAGCGAAAACTGTAATTTCCGAAGGCGCCAGCTGCTGTTACTCCGTCGACCGGCGCGCCTCATGCCCTCCCTGGAAAGCTGGTGTCCGAGTCCGCGACCGTCGCGCGATTGCGCGATCGCAAAAATCGCAAGTGCCCCATTTTTGAAACACTGAATATGAAACAAGTAGAATCATGAACAGTCGTCATTCAACCATCACCATCAAGCAGAAATGGCGGCGGGATTGGAGAGCACCTTGCAGTATTGATCGGGGCCTTTGCGTGTGATCCGTCGCGCGATTCGCGCGACGGATCGCTGACTCTGACACCAGTCCAGGGGAAGTGGGTAGGGGAGGTTGTAGCGCAGAGTATCCAAGAGGCAGTCATCACCGTAGCAAATATTTCAGTTTTCATGGCATTCAGTGTCTCCTACTTGAAAAAGCAAACTTGTTCTTCCATCCCAGATCTAACTCTTGCAGAAAATGGGTTCACTATGTATGTCGGAGCGAACTACTGTGCCCGATCCGCTCTTGCTTCAAATTACACACTCGTCCGATCCTGTTCCTCCCTGAGGATAGGAGGGAGAGCTCGCGGGAGGGGAACATTCACCTTGGGAAAGGATAGCACACGGTGCACAGCGTAGTACGTGAGATAAATCCACAGGAAAATTAGGCGTAAGCTTCGGTATGTAGTTGCACGCAGTACGTAATTACACTTGATTGGGTGTATTTCGCGGAAATGGATTGCTGATTGATGCTAACACTCTGATAGTCTGTAAACATGTCAGTATATGTTGTTATATGAAATTGACACTGTTTAAAAATGTCTCAAGGAGTACAGGAAGTCGATAGCTGTGATGCTGAAACCAGGACCAGGTTAATTTTTAAGTTGCAGTTTTTAATTCGCATGG